ACACCCCCAAAAAAAAGAAAAAACCCTGCCTAAACCAACCAATCCCAACGCCCACATGCATTTTCTGGCTTGTAAGGAATAGTGGTCCAATGAAGTAGGAAAAGAGAAGGGAAAAATGTTTAAAAGGAAGAATAGAAAGGTGTGGGGTTTTGGATTTTTAATGAATATAATATATAGTACAAGAAAAAAAAAAGGTATTAAAACAATAATAAAAATCCTTATCATTCTTTACTCTATGAGGATTTTCATCATTATCTATTCCTATTCCTATTGTGGATGTAGAATTCTTCTTTTGGTTTATCTCTGTAGTAAGACATGTCCAAATCTTGAAAATAATGGACAAATTTACAAAGGCAATAATGCTGAATTACATGATTAGACTAATTGACTAAGAAAACTGCATGCAGTCAAAGTTCCTACTGAATATGACTATTGTCTAGCATAGTATTCCATCCAATTCACTTTAATTAATTTTTTAATTATTTTTATATGTATATTAAGGAATCTACTTTTTAACATTAATTAATAATGAAATTGGTCATATTAACCTTTACTATTATTTAATTTTATCATTGAAAATATAATAAATACTTCGAGAGTATATACTCCAAAGGCAATTTTTTTTTAAAAAAAAAGTTAATTTCTTCTTGATATATAAAAAAATTAAATATTGTAGACCACAAAAAAAAAATCAAAAGATCAATTAAAATTGATCGGAGGAAGTATAATTTTTTCACGATTAAAGGAGTGAAAAAATGGAGAAACTAATTTCACCTGCAACGAGTATTCGCTTTAAGCCTCGAAATTAATGGAGAAACTCCTTAGCGCTTACCCTTTAATGAATTAACCATCATTAATTTGAATTAGTCAGGCCAGTGGATATCGATATAGTGATAAGTGGCGGAGCCATATTGAACTTTCTGACACCCCTTCGCCGGAAAATTACACTATTTTGTTAGATAAATTATTTTATTTTATGTATATTTATTATACGTTGACTACCCTTAAATTTTCGATATATCTAATTATTTATATTTTGACATCCCTTGATGAAAATTCTGGATCCACCACTGATAGTGCTTATGAAAAATATAATATTTTCTTTTTAAATGTTATATATAGAGAGAGGGTAGGGGGTTGAGTGTGGATCATCCACCCTTTCTTATCATTCCTTTTTTTGCTAATCAATCAATATGTGAATTTTATAAATTTTGATATTGTTGTGTAATTATCAAATGAAGTGGGTAAAATCATTTACTCATTGTTGCTAAGTAGTTAAATTTGATTAATTTTAGTAGTACCTAATAATGCATGTGGTGTGTCATTTCAAGATAAGTTTGTTATTTTACTACTATTATATTTTTTCAATTGCATTAATTATAATATATGTCAATTGTTACCAACTATTACATACCAAAAACAGATATTTCTAGATACTTTGCCATTCTCAGTTTTGTCCTACCTTATGTTTTACTCAACAGCCTTATATGGTTGTTGAGGTGAATATATTAAAGATTGTAAAATATATAGCAGGCGTTTGGACATAAAATTTGTAATTTTTGAAAAAAATGTGGTATTTGGAGAAGTTAAAAAATATTATTTAAAATTTAAAATTATGTTTGGACATGTATTCCACTTGAAAAAATGTTGCAATTTTGTGAGTGGTGAAATAAAATTTTCTGAAAATTTTGAAAAAATTCATTTTTTAAATTTTTTCAAAAACTTGTAAAATTTCATGGACAAACACATTTTTGAAAAAAAATTCAAAAAATGAAACAAATATCTATGAACAAACGGGTCCATAGTTTTCCAAGATTATAAAGGTAAACATATTCTTTTACATTGATGTTTCAAATTTTATCCACCAAGTATAGCCATTTCAATTTATATATATATATATCATTTGTCTAATTTCTATACTTCATCTTTTTAACAGATAGAATTAAATTTGATAAGGAATGTATAATTATTTTTTGGCTTATATGAACATATAATAACACTAATATATATGTAACAACTAATCAATGAGTTAGAGATAAGTTTAGTTGGTCAAAGATAGGGTGTATATAAGACAATAATAACGATATAAGATATGAAATGAAACAAATGTTATTTAATTTTTTTCAAAAATATATAGGGGTCATATATATAGGACAATAATAACGATATAAGCTATGAAATGAGAAACGAATGTTATTATGTTAATTTGGTTCAAGTACAAATAAGCATGTCGGCATGAATTACAAGAACAAACAAGTACGTGATGAGTTTGGTATATTTGAATTATTATGAGATTCAGTTCCATATAGTGTTAAATGCATGTCGTTGAATTGTTAGCTTTTACCATTTGTGCGCATTAATCTTTCTTAGGTCTCACAACCCTAGGATTGCCCCATTCTTATTAGTATCGGAATCATAAATTTTAATCTAAAAAATATAAGAATATATTGTTAGGTGTTTGCCATAGTTTTCTTACCATATTTGGTTTTCCTATTTGTTGAAGGAAAGGGCAATATAATTACCTTAATTGGGTTTTCCTTTTTGTAGAAGGAAATTATAATTCTCCTATACTTGGCTAGTCTTTTTTCTTGTAGGAAAAGGTTTGGACTTCTATAAATTGAGGATCCGTCCTTCTCATTCAGTAGCATCCACAATGTAGCCATAGGGGCTTGAGAGTCGTGTTTAGGGGGAGAACTTTACGGGACAAGTGTTAGTGTGTCACTTGTGTTTGCCTCTTCGTAAGGTTGTTCTCTCGATATTTTGTACTCTCTTTTTATATAGTGGATTGCTCATCTCCGCAGTGGACATAGGTCAGTGACCGAACCACGTTAAATGTTTGTGTTTCTTTTGGTATATTTCTCCTTTGTTGTATGATTTATCGTCGCTCAATGTTTGCTTAGCTAGCTTCCGTATGACACCTGATTTTTACGGTCCTAACATATATCTCTTATCGCTGATGACATCATTCTTATTGGGTGGTGTTAACGACAAGCGAGAGATTTGGAGACATACTTTTGAGTCTAAGAGTTTCAAGTTGAGCAGGACTAAGACAGATATATCTGGAATGCAAGTTCAGCGCCGAGTCGGGGAAAGTGGGCATGGACGTGAGGCTTGGATCATAGGTCATCCCCAAGAGAAGTAGTTTTAAGTATCTGGGGTCGATTATCCATGGGGACAGAGAGATTGATGGGGACGTCACACACCGTATAGAGGTGTGTTAGATAAAATGGAGGTTAGCATCAGGAGTCCTGTGTGACAAGAAAGTCTCACTGTTACTCAAAGGTAAGTTATTCTATAGAGCTGCGGTTAGGCTGGCCATGTTGTATGAGGCAGAGTGTTGGCCGGTTAAGAACTCTCATATCCAGAAGAAGAAAGTGACAGAGATAAGGATGTTGAGGCGGATGTGTGGGCATACTAGGATGGATAAGATTAGGAATGAAGTTATTAGGGAGAAGATAGGCATGGCTCCTATGGATGACGAGATGCGGGAAGCGAGGCTCAGATGGTACGGGCACGTGCGAAGGAGGAGCCCTGATGTTCCGGTGAGGAGGTGCGAGAGTTTGGCCTTGGCGGGAACAAGAAGAGGTACAGGGCGGCCTAAGAAGTATAGGGGAGAGGTGATCAAACAGGACTCAGCTTTGCTGCAGATTTTCAATGACATGATTCTTGATAGGAAGAGGTGGAGATCGAACATTAGGGTTGTAGATCCACCATTGCCTGTCACATCTCTTCTAACCTCTTTGTCAATTCTCACTCCAAACCTTCGAAAAAAGAAAAAGGAAAAAAAAGAAAAGACAAATAATAGTTATCAACAAAGAAGAACGCATTGACTCGATTGCGTGGATCCCACAGCAAAAAGAATGAAGGGCCAAAAAGTCAATCAAGACCTAAGAATAACTGTAGTAAATTGTTGCTTTGAAATGAAGTATATAAATAAATTTTTAGTATAAGATTGAGATCTTGCCCAAGATTTCCGAGATGTTGTTTCCTGCAGCTTCTATAAATCACCATTTTTACTTTAATTTCTATCTTCATTTCGAGCTCTATGTCTCAGAAATTAAAAATATGTCGTGGGTTGTTCGAGTTTTGGTCTTATAATATTGTTCCAACACTATCTAAACGCTATTGAACAAAAGTTAAACTTACTAATGACATATCCAAGAAAATTTGATGAGTTTATATATATAGAGAGAGCCAACTGACTCTTTAACCTTTCTTTTTTTCCGAATGAGTTGCAGGTTCTACACCTTAAGATATGCAGCACCTATTCAAGAGCTGAGGAATCGACTT